AGTTTCACTGTATTGTAAAGAAACCACCGTTTTTGCTGTCCAAAGTCTAATTTATTACTGACACACTAATTTATAACAGAACTAATTTATTAAAATGTATAACCCTGTTGACTGGATTATGGCGCTGTTACTGATTCTTCGCCCGTTGTCGGTCTGACTGTATTTTATTATCTTATACTACATGTATATATTCACTATACTTATCGAACGCTCTCGAAGTTGGCATTAGCTCCCTAAAGTGAACTAAAACTCCTCCATGAGGCCGAAATCGCGCACGCACAGCCACGTTACTCCGGTTGCCTAAGCGTAAATGTTTCTGGACACCTGTCGAATCTTCTGGACAATGTGCGAGGGTGTTCCAGTTATGAGGGCGTTACAGTAAAATAATTAACTTTTTTCTTAATACCATGCATATTTTAATAGTCAAATTAAGAGATGCTGAACTTAGAAAATTGAAAAAGATAGAATAGAAAGTGCTAAAATGCACCTAGCCTCAACTTATAAATGGCTTTCCAGCCCTCTTTTGAGATTGTCCGCTTTGTACCTTCATAATCTTTTATCAACAGGCCAAAGGTGTAGCACAAAATACGCGCTTAAACATGTGTGAATTACGTAAACATGAAAGCATATGAAAGTCACGTATAACGTATGTTCAGTCTGGGTTCGGGTCATACGTTTCCAATAACCGTGAGAAAAATGTGTGCCAGCAACGATCTATTTTTACCGTGCGGGTGTCACGGAAATGTTTATATGAGTATACCTGATGGCCTGCACTTTATATACTTGCTTGATTATTACATTTTAATCAAGTAGCTAGGAGAAATGGCAATTTCACAGTTGCTCATGTGGCACGCGTCTATTATTATGTAGACGAGGTGTAAACTAGGCACCAGTGATGGACGTTTACGCGTATATTTTAGTCTAGATCAAAGCATTGACAATGCATACAAAGAGTGCACAATGTAAGCAATACGTATATAATGAGAAATATATCTGTATGCAATAGTGAAGACAATGTGTAGAAAAGAAGAAGTGTGATTAGGTTTACTCGCAAACGTCAAAACATAAGTGAACGGCATGGATATCATGTAAAAAACCAATAAAACGTCAACAAAAACCTATAAGATGTCATCTTGCAAACTAGGTAGTTCTTAGGGCGCAAACAGTCATTCCACGTTGTCTCACTAGGATTGTTGTGAACGTCCATCTAAGGAGGAATCACTCAACTAAACTAAACGCATTATTGGCTGCATATATTTTGTGAGGCCAAATGGCTCTTGTCTGTAGTTTTTATCTAGGAGAAGAAAGTTGGTTGAATAGCAAGATCGCATCTGGATGATTATGTGTATTGGTCTGCATGTGAATAAAATAAGTGATATTTGCTGTGTGAGAAAATCATTACTGAATATGCTGCCAATGAAGTAAATCTATTGGCTGTGCCGACAGGTTATTTTTATGTTGTGCTTTCTAAAAAGAGGTTGTGTTCAAAGTTATAAATCACGAAAAACTGATGTGAATTACGGGAAATCATCACCGCGCCCACGTTGTATGTAATTACTGTTAACATATATATGGCTTGTAATTCGACAGTGTACAGTGAGTATATTTATTTCTTATCTCTCATATATTCAAAATTCAGCAAATTTGTATATGTAATTTCCAGAATTGGTTAAGGAAAAGTGGATGTGCAACTAATTTCTAGCTTTGAATCTCAATTAAGTGTATTTGATACAAGAGCCCAATGTAATTATCATCAACACATACAACTTATAGCATGGACCTCCAGTAATGCCATCTCAGAAACAGATTTTACATCACATTAGAGCCAATGATTGATAACAAGCCTCATGACGTTTAGGCAATACGTACAACTAAGTGCTAAGTTTATATCTTGTAGAAAAACATAGATAATGTCAAAAAAAACAGCATAATGTCAAAAAAAAATCGGCATAATGTCACTTTTCAAGATACGTGATACCCGTGCCGGCAAGTATAAGAACAAAAAAAAATACAAAGTTTTAAACGAAGATGAATATGGATTTACAGGTGGAAACTCTACTTCAGTAAATAACAAACAGTAAATTAAATATATCAAGATATAGAAAACAACACTTATTCCATTTGCATTTTTGTTGAATTAAGGAAAGTTTTCGGTACAGTAAACCATAAACTATACTGTTAAATACATTGAAGAGGGCTGGTTTTAGGGGAAAATGCACCTGTTATCGAAAATTATCTATCCAACCGCCAACAATCCGTTCAGGTATCAAAATCACTTAGTAAGGAAATGTCTCTGAAATGTGTTTAATACATATTTGAACGATCTATTTCAAACCGCTTGTATGGACAAAATAAGCTTTGCAGATGATACTTCAATTTTATATAAAGGTGATGATTGGTGTCATCTGAAACATATAAGTGATAACGACTTCATCAAAATTACACAGTGGTTTAACAACAGAAAACTTAGCATAAATTATTCAAAACCACATTAATATTCATATTTTTTGTATTTTAGAAAAAGTTCGATTTTGTGACATATAAAACATAAAATTAAATACCTGAGAAGAATTTGACAGAAAAGTACCTTATATTATTAGTATACCATACATCGATTGAACCACATTTAACCTATGGTATATTAGTATGGGAGGGCTACATGTTCATTCCATACATCGTCGCTTGAATGCAGAAGTATTCTAAGTCACAAAATGCATATTGTACAGGAGAGCTATTTTTCGTGTTTGTGCCTTGCCTAACATTTCTGAGAAATTTTGGATATAGAATGCTTTACCGGAAAAAAAATATGACTAGTCCGTGAAAGTAGACTTATATTTGTTGCTGACGTTCGACTTACAGTCGTTCTGTAAGTGATCATTTGCTCTTATCATAGTTCTGCAGCGAAATGACGCGCCTCAAGCTATTACGCCAAAATATCGTTCAAGACCAGTGGTGGGGGAACGCTTGCGCAGGGACCTACAATACCTCTGCATGCAATGTAGGTGACTATGACCTACAATGTCGTGTTGAAATCTGAAAAATGAAGAATTTGGACATACAATAGTTCTGCATTCAGGCGACGACATATAATTTAGATATTTCTCAAAAAACTCTTTAAAAGACTAGTCAATAAGCGCAGACTTTATCCGACTAATAAACTGTTTTCACACATACAGGTGTATGTCATGAGGCAACTTCATGACTTACACGCTATCACCCATTATGATATATTTATCAATATCAATAAAAAAATAGTCATGATCATTTTATAAGATACACAGTGCCTTAGTTCCAAGACCATATAAAACGTGATGCAGCGGTCGTATTTGGCACCAACCTTATGAAATTTTACCAAAAAGCATTAAAAATTTGTATCGCAAATTATTTTAGGAAAAAATATATATTATCATTAATTAGTAACAAACATTTGAAATTAAATTTTGAAATTCGGATCTGTATTTTTTTTTACTTATCCATGATGTCTATTTCAGAGTTGCAACCTAAAATTCATGTACAGCCAATGCCTTCTTTGGACCCATTGTTTTATATTTATTTACTTACATTGTTTCATTTGCAGTTAGGTAAATAGATAAATATTGTAAATATAAAATATTGTAACACAGCTGCACGCGAAAAATAATAACAATTATAAACTAATATCCAAAGATGGTACAAAATATTCCATCGAGTGCTATGTCTGTAAAATAAGTTATCTAATTCAGTTACATGTCGTTTGAAATCGCACAGGTAAGTTAAATGCTGTCGTATTTATGCAGCTATCGACGCTCTAGTTTACCACCTTACAACGTAATAAAATTTCTTGTATTTTGGATTGCGAAAATAGATCACTCTAAATTAGCCGTACATGCCCTGAAGTCGGTTCTAATTCCAGCTTAAAACTATAACCTTTAATATCTTTTACTGGCATCGCATATATGCGAATGACCTAATTGAACTACGTATTATATGTTATTGTATACATTGTCAAAAACGCTTACATTATACACGAACATCAAGACGTAGACAATTACAATTTCATACGCGTATACAATGTTGTATTTTCCATGCGCAGAAAGGCACACAATGCTAACAGAAATAAACCACAATAGAGCTCATTCTCCATGTTTTCTGGCCGTTAAAAGAAACCACATGTAGAATCGAGTTTGTGCTAACTCTCCATCCGCCTTGGTGGCCTTTTTCACAGTACAGAGCAAAAAAATGGCATAAAATAGGTTGACTAAGCACTTCTTATGCAACGACACCATCAGTTCATAAAGAATCAAGTTCAGCACAAGTTAAACCCCTTAAATTAAATGGATCAAGTCAGTCAAACAGGCCCATAGACATTGTTTTCCTGCCCTACCGGTAGTTGGAAGTATAACTCTGATAAAACTGCAATTCTCACCCAGGAGGATGGAAGAACCCTAATCTGCACCATCATACACAAGAAGTAACTACCACTACATTACTACCGGCATATATACAAATGCAATTTGCCTCGTATACTGGAAAGCCCAGCGATACAAATGGGTCGGGAACAATCTCCGTAAAAAATAAACTGGTTCCGTAAGATTGTTCACTTTATTCCGTCTTAAGAGGAGAAAATAATTTTTCTAAGCAAAGATATGAATAAATCTATGATGTGTAAAATATATTATACTCGTAGGTCCGTAGAATTATCCTGGTTGGAGGTGTATTAATATACTAACCTCAAAAAAAAATGCAATACTTGTTTGGGCGTACCAGGCACGTCACAATTCCCGAAGTATTCTGGAATCTAAATTTAGAAAAAGTGACAATTATGCTGGGAATAAACACTTTTAAATGCGTTGATAATTTGAAGGTCTTCTAGTCCTTCAGAAATCTTGGAATGTATAAAAATACGAAATCCATATTTTAAAAATTATAGTGTCCAACACTGACCGTGGTGCAGAGAGAGCCTCTAACCACGAACTTCGTAGTTTGAACGTTTTGAAGCTTGCTGTTGAAATTATACTTACCATTGAATCTGCTGGTGGGCAAAAGTCCACTGTTGAGCATCGACAGTTTGATGGCGCCAGGTATAGAAGCGAAAGAATTTGTCGCGCTTATGTGCCTTTTCTTCTTCGGCTTGTCAGCACTTGTGTGATGATGACGTGTGGTAGACCGTGACCTATCATGAAAAAAAAACTTTTAAATGGCACCCTTATATTAAATTTAGATGAAAATTCATCAAAGAGAAAATCGAAATCGAACCCAATGTAACTTTTCTCTGCGAAGCCATTTCAAAGTTATGTCAAAGCAACTTTGATGTGAAACTCTCAAAGAACGGAATAGCGAAATCAACCCATCTGTTATATAAATTTTCAAGTTCCGCTGAATTCAAGATCGACATTAGCTTGTAGCTAGCGCGCATTTGAATATCACGTCAAGGTCACTTCAAGGACGATTTCAAATGATGTTGACTTATCGAGTCCCACAATATGTCATACATGTTTTGGGGTCGTCGAATCAATTTGATTCTAGGAGTCCTTTTTTGGGTTGTTTTGGGGTCATATCAATGTAAAATTTGTACTAAGTTGAATGAAACCCATATAAGAGGTGTTTGAGATAGACTGATCGCATTCCTCGTTACTTTGAGCTTTGTCCTTAACATATTATCCAAGTGACCTTCAAATGCGCTCATGAAGGTAAACTCACATCGCATTTAGTTTAAGCTACTTTAAAAACCTATGAAATGTAGTTGGACACGAATGACGACTTTTTTCAATTTTCCCTTCAAGTGACTTCGAGGCAACCTTAAAATTCTGAATTCAGATTAATTTGAATCTGTCCTGGAAGCAATTTTGAGGTGGCCTTCAAATGCCCTCGTAGACGATTAATGTAGGCTCAGCGACCTCAAAAACCTACAAGTCATGTGGTGCGTCTTTTGGTCGACTTGTTTAAGGCTACCCAGTACCCAGCGTCACCTTGAGGTCAGTCAAGGGCGCGTCTTCAGTTCCCTTTCTTAAGTAAGCCAAGGATGAGAAGTGTGAAGGTCCAAACATCGGAACCAACTGCCGCTCCTGCTATTGTCGCGCCTCGTCACCTCAATCTTTGTTTTCAACAACGAGAACAACGGGAAAGCAAATCCTATAATATCCTTATATCCATTTAAATATGTTACTAAAATTAATTTCCGATTTCAACCCAGACATTATATGCCTACAAGAGACACACTTCCACGAAACCAAATCGCATACACCAAAACAGTACACTGGATTTTTCAAACACCGTGAAAGAACTACAGCTAGCGGTGGAGTCGCAATATACATAAAATCAGATATATTAGCCAAACCTATAACCCTTACCACAAATCTAGAAGCTGTAGCCATTACCGTCGAATCAGATACAAAGATCAACATATGTAACATATATATACCTCCCAATTATTATTTAGAAGAAAATGAGCTTGAGTCATTACTGCAACAAATACCATCACCACGGATAATATTAGGAGATTTCAATGCTCACAGTCACATATGGAATTCATACAAAAATGACACGCGGGGAAATATTATAAAAAATATAATTGACCATGCTAACATGATTCTACTGAATGATGGTAGCAGTACAAGATTCGATTCAGCCTCTGGACGCTTTTCTGCAATTGATCTTAGCATGTGCTCCTCTAATCTGATTACACATTTACAATGGAATGTCGCGGACGATTTGTATGGGAGTGACCATTTCCCAATAATAATACAAGATATAAACAAAGAAATTACAGATATACAACCAAGAGAAAAATGGAATTTAAAAAAAGCCAACTGGCCCTCTTTTTCTGCTTATATCGATAATAACCTAAACACTTTTGAGATCACAGATGACGTCGATGCTACCGTTCAAAGCTTTATGAATCTAATCAAAGAAGCTGCTTACCAAAACATAGGCAAAACTAGGGTGATACGGAGAAGGAATCCAGTCCCTTGGTGGAACGAAAAATGCGAACATGCAGTAGGAGAAAGCAAGCAAGCTCTGAATAAAATGAGAAGATATAAAACAGTTGAAAACCTAACTGACTTCAAACACAAACGTGCAAAGGCAAGACTTGTTTTAAAAAGGGAACAAAAATTATCATGGCAAAAATTTGTTTCAACCATCAATAATGCCACCAATGTATCCACAGTCTGGAAGAAAATCAAAAGCATGTCTGGAAAAAAATCACATTCAGTCATTAGGTCGATAAAGAAAGGATTTCACACTTTCACTCAAAGCAGAGACATAGCTAACACCTTATCCAAAACATATTTCAAAAATTCCAGTGACCAAAATTATAGCGCAGCATTCCTTAATTACAAGAGAAACACAGATAGAACAATTCCCATTAGCGAAACCCTTCATTCAATAAATAACCCCATTACAGAACAGGAACTAACCGAGGCACTTCTTACATTGAAGAACACATCACCTGGACCTGATGATATACCAACAATTTTCCTAAAGCACCTCTCACATTCAGCGATGAGCATACTTTTAAAAATTTACAATATAATATGGACTAAGCAAGTTTTTCCAAACGAATGGAGGAAAGCCACAGTTATACCGATTCTAAAACCAAACGCACCACCCCAGGTTCCAGAATCCTATAGACCAATTTCATTAACGTGTTCAATGTGCAAGCTATTAGAAAAAATTGTTAACCGGAGATTATTGTGGAACTTGGAAAGCAAAAAGCAGCTGGCGCACGAACAGGGCGGATTCAGATCAAACAGATCTACATTGGATAATATCGTAGACCTAGAATCTTACATACAAGAGGCATTCTCTGAACGGCAGCATTGTGCAGCCATTTACTTTGATGTCAATAAGGCATTTGATACCGTATGGAAATTTGACGTACTCATCAAACTAAAAAACTGGGGCTACGATGGACACATTCTAGCATTCATACAAAATTTTCTTGACAACAGAAAATACCAAGTTCGTGCCAATGGTGTACTATCAGATGCTGAAACGCAGATCAACGGCCTACCCCAAGGATCTATTATCAGCCCAACACTTTTCCTGGTAGCCATTAATGACATCGTGGCGAATATAAAAAAGCCTCTCCAAACTCGCCTTTATGCTGATGACATGATTGTATATGTTAAAGGCAAAAATATGACAACTACTACATCGTTGCTCCAATCAACGTTAAATCAAATGGAGCACTGGTCTAATAAAAATGGCCTGACATTCTCTCCTGACAAAACACAATGCATTATATTCTCTAAAAAGTCAACTCATACACAACCAACTCTACGCTTATCAAATGTAGACCTGAAAACACATCAAGAAATAAAGTTCCTTGGGATTATATTTGATCAACGTCTGACCTGGAGGAGTCATATTACTTATCTAATTCAATCTTGTCAGAAAGGACTCAACATGTTACGATACCTAGCCAATAGACACTGGGGTGCAGATGGAAAAACCCTTTTAAGTATATATCGTGCACTAGTGAGATCGAAAATAGATTATGGCTGCATAGCATATAGCTCGGCAAAATCAACAGTATTGAAACCTCTAGACGTTCTACATAATTCTGCACTACGCCTGATATTAGGAGCCTTCAGAACCACACCCATTGACAGTTTATACTGTGAGTCTGGAGAAGCTCCCCTATATGTTAGAAGACAAGTCCTGAGTCTACAATACGCAACTAAACTTGCATCTAACCCATCTATACCAGGATTTAGTCACACATCTGTCAACCGCCAAATTGCCTCAAGTTTCAACTACAGAATAAACAGTATCTAAATCAACTACGTATGCCTGTACTTCCTCCTACTATCACCACCACTCAGACAACTAACCCACCTTGGAGCATTCAGATACCTGTTATCAACAGCACACTGACAAAACTATGCAAAGAGGAAACACCAAAAGAAATTATATACCAGAAATTCTCAGAAATCCGCAATCAATATGGTAACTACAGTGAAATATATACAGATGCCTCAAAATTACAAATGCACGTTGGCGCTGCAGTCATAACACCAACATCCATTATAGAATGTAAGCTGCCAGAGACAGCCACAGTCCTTACGGGTGAACTCTATGCAATATTTGAAGCCATCAAGTATATTAAAGGTAACTCCGCAAATAATTGGTTAATTATATCCGACTCATTGAATTCGCTTAAGTTAATTAGCACTATGTACAGCAAGAACGCCATAGCTCAAAGAATTCGGGATGAAATGAAAGATATTGCAATGCACAAAAGAATTGTTTTCCTATGGGTTCCATCACACGTTGGAATTCCAGGAAATGAGCTAGCAGATCGCAAAGCAAAAGACGCTGCCAACAACGCTACTAGATATATTGTCAAAGTACCAGAGTATGATGTAAGGGCTCATTTAAAATCGAAAATCATCCAGAACTGGAACAATCTGTGGCAGAGTAAACCATCCAAATTACTTGAACTCAAGTCTAAGTTGATGCCATGGCAAACCGTCACCAACAACCGCAAAATCCAGACCATCATCACACGACTAAGGCTAGGACACACACGAGCTACCCACGGATACCTGCTGTCTCAAGAACCTGTGCCCCTATGTGAAATCTGTGACGTGCAGTTAACAGTGAAACACCTACTAATTGAGTGCCCAGTGCTAGAAGTATATAGGTTTATGTATAAACTAAACGGAACACTGGCTGACATTATAGGACCACAGTGTAATATTATAAACATTTCCAATTTTCTTAAAGCATCTAGATTTATGTACAAAATTTAACCTACTCCCCGCTAATGACCTTTAGGTCGAAGCGGTATGCTAAATAAAAAAAAAAAAAAATCCTATAATATCCGGCAACAGTCTGAGATAAACTTGATATTCTCAAGAAACGTTTAATTCATCACCAATAGAAGATGCTTATCTTTGCTTAAACGGACTCATTCAATACATTAATATATCGCTTGAATATCCCCATGTCCCTAGATAAAATTATTGACGCCAATTGTCCCTAAGTTGAGTTTTTCTTCAAATTTAGGGGCAAAATATTAAAAAATGGGATTTTATAGGGATAAAAGGTATTATTTATTTTATGCGATAGTGTTCATTTCTTTGCAAAGGAGTTTCTTAGTTTGAATTTGTGAGATTTCAAGGTATTTTGTAGTACGCTTGAAGCGAACATTTTTGAACAGTTGGCATCACTGCTTGACAGCCAATATCAACTTAAGCATTTAGTCAGAAGAAGGCATTGAATGCATCTTGCTTTTATAAGGTTCTCTAAGTTAACTCTGGAGATACAGCTATGCAATAAAAGCAGATCTTAGAGAAAATGATGCTCTAGAAAATGCTTTTTTCATTTTTTCGATATCTTGTCTTATTACTAATCACATTTAATATAAGAATGTACAATTTTGAACTCGATACATTATTCCCACAATTTTTTTTAAATAATCATAAATAGCGTTTCTCTTCAATAAAGACTTTACTTTCATATGCCCAAATGTCTTTTTTGTATCGCAAAAAAACGAATGAGTTATGCGAGAACTAAGTAATATATGGAGGTACTGGGAACGCTTAAAGTTTGCCATTGAAATGGCCATGAATTGACGTCCAAATACCTAAGAAGGGAAAAGTCTCGGTTTTAATGATTTGACATCTTTTTGAAGAAGAGAATAAGATAAAAAAAATGAAGTAATCCATCCCTACCTGTGTTTGCTTTTATGGGTGGTACCCGACGAAGAGTGGTACGATGATGAGTACTGCGACTTGCCAGCGGACGACGCCATGGCGCTGGCATCGCCTGTAGGCTGGCTCGACATGCCGACACCGGCCCCGCCTATGATCGAGCGGTCAGTAGCGGAGGTGCGGCGGGAAATTAAGGCAAGACATGTTCATCTGAAACAACAAATATTCATTAAATACAAAAAACTCATATCCTCGTGCACAAAAAATGGCGTCAAGTATGTTGAATCTGCACTCCCTATGCAACTCCATCATCAGTTCATAAAGTCAACCCCTCTGAGAACAAGTTTAGCTACGGACATGTGTAATAAAAAGTTAGATGGATCAAGTTTAGTAAATCAGGCTCATATAATAAGGACTGACTGGACCGCGCGCGAATTAATAAGCTATTACAATACCTAAGCGGGGACTGAACTGTAATGTAGGACAGTATCCGGTTCAGTTTTGCACGGTAACACCAAAATCTTATTAAAATGAGAGAGTACCAGTACGCGAAGGAATAAGATACCTTAAAGTTGAGCTTGACAAGAGACCAGAGGCACGATCTCACATCAACGCTCCGCTACGAAAAGCTAAAACAGTTGGAAATCATATGACAACGTTGATGTGAGGGTGCGAGTAATTGAAGCGTGCATCGTTCTCCTTTTGGATTCTCGAACTGTGCAACTTCTACCAAGGATAAGTCGGATAGGCTTTAACTCACTCGACGTCTGGTTGAAGAAAGCGTATAAAGTCATTATTGCCCATCAACACAACTTTGGGAAACGCTCGGTAAGGATCTCTACCACATCTTGGTAGCAACTTTGCAACAGGAAATGCTAGAGACTAGTATTAGTCACTTTCGGAGACCCCAGCGGAAACTGACGGACTCGAACTGCTATGTATTGAAAGTTTTTTTTAATAAATAAAGTAACTCTGTAATGCTAAGTATGTATAAGGTACCGTCGGGTAAAAGGCCGGACAGGTAACAAGACCGAAAGCCGATCACAAGTAAATTAAATACTGGTACATACAGTGCCATCTGTTAACAGGTATGTGAATATTAGCTCATTGAATTCAGTTAACGGTTTGTCCGCCAGAAGCTCTGTGTATGTCGTTGATTGTTTTATGGGAGAGATTTTCCTAAGGTTATAAGAATCGTCGGCAAAAAGTAGGTTATATTTACAGAAAAACAAGTGCATATTTATTACCGTCTGTTTGCTTGTGTTTTATGGATATTAACAAAATGTTTAATAGATAAATGTACTTCGTGCATTAATAGAAGATTCATAACCTAAAATATTTCAAACACATTGACCAGGTAATAAGTTTGCTATTAGTAGGACAGATAATAAGGCTATAAAATAATGTGTAAAATTAGATACTTCTGATTTAGCAGATATGGGAATGAAAAATCGAGGCATTTGGACTCAGTGGACAGAGGAAACGATGGCAGAAGCTTTACAGTTGTTAGGAGAAGGAAATTCGCAAGAAACGGTAGCACGACGTTGTGGCATTCCGAGTCGCACGATAAGAAACCACTTGAAATCTGGTTTATCAAAACGTTCTTTAGGTGCAAAACCCCTTTTAAGCACACAATAAGAAAACGATTTGGTGGTTAAAATCATTCGGTTTGCTAAGAAAGGTTTTCCTCTCACGTCAAAAAGTCTGCGTCGTAACGTTTTCAAATTTTGTCAAACACTTGGTGTCCTACATAAATTTAATAAGTATCGCAGTTGGCAGGCAAGGAATGGTATCGTTCCTTTTTAAAGCGCCATCCCAACATATCACAAAAGAAAGCTCAGCAACTGAATCCGGCGCGTGCTGAAAAATTGAACCGCTACATTGTCGATGATTACTTTACTAAATTGGGTAGTCTCTTAGATAGAACAAGTTTAAAACACCGAGCTGAAAAGTTCTACAACATGGACGAGAAGGGATGTAGACTGACACCAACAACGTGTGCTAGCAGAGAAAGGATCAAGAAGGGTACACCTAGTCGCGCCAGAACATGGAGAGAATGTTACCTTTGTGGCTTGTGCGAATATCCTTGGTCAAGTGGTGCCCCCAATGATACTTTTAAAAGGTCAGCGACAGAAACCTACATATACTAATGGATTTCCTGCTGGATCAGAGCTTTGCATGACACCCAAAGGTAGCATGACGACTGGCACATTTTTAACGTGGTTGAACCACTTCGCCATATTTATGTCTGCCCCTCCCACGATTCTAATATTCGACGGTGCATCGAGTCATTTAGACGTATCCATTGCGGACAAAGCAGAGTCCTTAGGCATAGAACTCTTTTGTTTCCCTTCCAATACCACACACCAGCTCCAACCCATCGCCGTGTCTGTTTTTCGCCCGTTTGAATCTCAGTGGGATCAAGAATTGCTTAATTACTGGGACCAACGTCCCAATAGAACACTAAATAAAGAGCGATTCTCAGATGTTTTTAAACCCGTGTGGGAAAAAGTATGACGATGAGCGATATCTGTAGTGGCTTCAGGGCGACTGGGATATATCCCTATAATAAACATGCTATTCCCGAACACGTGTTTGCACCAAGTTTTCCAAGTAATCGTCTGGAGGGTGGCAGAAATGACCATTCGATGACTAATGAAATAGACAACCGCTCCACAGAACAAGAAAGAGAAATTAGAGTAGGATACATTGAATGGGATCCCGAAGATCTTATACCCTTGTCTAATTTTGTGAAGAAAACAGCACAAGAGAATTCTTTTTCTGAGGTTCTTATCACAGCAGATATGAAATCCAAAACGGTATCAACACGTAAAAAGGCGTTCAACTATCGCGCCCAAGAGGTGAAGAGGCAAGTGTTTGAGGAACACAATTCCCCAAAAAAAAGGCGAGCAAACTGCAAGAAAGTCCTTCAGTGTTCCAAGTACCAGCTGTGCTGAATCACAAGAAAGTTGGATGTGTACAGTTTGCAACCATGACCACTTCGGTGATATGAGAGTTTGTGCATCTTGTGGGACATGGGTGCATGAAGAATGTGTTGGGCTAACTAACCTTCGAAGACACAGAAGATTTTATTTGCCCCCAATGTATGTCCTAAGTATCCGGCCTTATTACACGCCCTTATTTTACTGTGATGGCCTTAATACGAGCCTGGTCTGATATTAAGGTCAATATGCAGGTACTCAGTTTTTTGTTATTAAAAAAATATATTAAAGAAATAAGTTTTATTTTGTGTAATAAGCAAATGTTGAGAAATGCATAAGTGTTTATTTTATGTTACAGCCGTTTTTAGTTTCATTAATATAAAATATTTTCCACTAACACGGTCTTATTGCCCGACTTTACCTTATATAAATAAATGTTGATTGAGTGAATTAAGATATCTAGCATTCTTTTGTGTACAATTTCAGAGCTTTTTAGGATTTGGTCTACCCTGAGAAAATTTGCCTTTTCCGGTTTTCAAAAATTTTTGGAATCAAGTACGCTTCACACACTTCTTGGCGAAAAATGAACCTCCCTTCTGGCATCGCCGAACCGCGGCGCACGTATTGCCAGACACGCGACTGGTGGGAATATTTCTTCAACATTCCGTTTTAAGGGTAAATGGACAGGAAAATCTATAAAGAGTTAAATAGAATTACGGGGATCGGAGTCGTATAAATATACCAACGTCAAAAATGATGATAATAATAATATTTATTTATTTTCAATTACAATTACAAATGTTCCAGATGAAATGAAGGTAACATACAAATAGATATAAAATATCCACAGATAGTATAGACTGTGCGACGAATCTGATAATGATATTTTAGGAAAGTGAAAAGTTCATTTGCTTTAGCTGTATGCTTGGATATGTTTAACCTTAAATATCAGAAACTTGTAAGTTTGACAGTTTGAAAAAAAAAGTTTTAAATGTTTTAATATATTATTTGAAATAATTAGCTGCTTAGATATACCCTCCTCCACTCCCTACAATCCCCATCCGCCTCTGAAAGGTCAAAAAACGAAGTTTGAGCGATTTTTATTTTGTTTTCTGTTTTTGACACAGGCTTCGCCGCTGCTGGACCGATTTTAAAAACCTAAAATCATGTTTTGTCCTTGGCATAGTAGTAACCTTATGGGAAAATTTGATCATAATCCGAAAGGTACTCTCTAAGTTATATACACGTTAAGGATAAGCGGACAGAGCGACAGACAGAAATGGATGATGTAGTTTTTCTTGAAAGACATGTCATAGGTATAACTGTATCATCCAAAAAACGCGATATCCCATTTTAGAATTTTTTCGTAATTACAATACTTCACCGCCTGCCGCGTAGCAAGTAAAATGCAGTCAAGTAGATTGAATCAGTACTTCCCTCGCGGTGATATAAATTACATTGGTTTTTTTGCTCACGAACAGTTTTAACCCCCTAAAAATGTTATTCGAGATGGTGTGTGATCAAACATATGAAGACTATCGAAAAACCGAGGCTGATATTTCTACAAAACATTTGACGCTCCAAAACAGTTTCTTAACCCCCAAATCAGCAGAAACTGGACAAAAACCGAATCAGACTTGAGGATGGATTGAAAATCAGACAATAACGGACTACAACAGGCACTAGCATGAGAAATTATTGAGTCGGTCCAAGAACTAAATCAAACCTGCTATTCATATGACAAAGTACGAAGTTACTAAACTATACTAAGTACACGAAATCACAGTTTCCTAGCAATAATACTATAATGAAAATCATGAGTAGATCATTGGAATTAACAAAATCGTACGCAAAATCAGAAAGAAATCGGTGAAGCTGAAATGTTCAAAATCTCTGAGTAAATTCGGGAACCATTCTCAAGTTCTCAGTCTCTACAAGACAGTTAACATTGAAAACGATATGGCACATCTTTTATTCCTAGTATGTACTGATTCTAGTACAATATGCTTTAAGATACTTTTTTACTTCTACTAACGTAAGGCAGTTACGAGTGGCACTTTGGTATTAGTTTCTGTCTACTTTGCTATTGCAATATAAAATAGGAGACTCAATAAAATGGTGAATGCTCAACTTGAAAAGCAATCCTTTTGCTGGTCACATTCATCATATTTTAAACTACCGATTTCCACACTTTATTGTTAAAACATTTGGATAGTATTTATGCACCGTCACATCTATAATGCATTGAAAACAAACCAATATTGATGT